GGAGCAAAAATTTCCACTCTTTTATTAGCCCCGGGTCCAGTGGACCCGAACATCCTGTATGTAATATAAACATGTAGGGGGGTGTACAGTGAGTAGTCATTGAAAATGTGTTCTGATATATGTTCTTCACAGAAAATGAGCCAAGGCCAATGAGTCTGAGTTTGAAAAAATAATTTATAGTATAATTTTTCTTTTGATAAAGAGTGAAAACGGGTCGTTTTTCCACAGACCCGAACACCATACAAGGGTTAAATACGATTACAAATTACTTTTTATAGCCTACCTTACTTTCAACTTAAATGTTGTTTACAATAGACGAATACTTACAGAAGTGAAAAGAGTTCCTCCTGCGTCCATGCACAAAAATCGGTTACTTTTCACTCCAAATATTGCGAGACGGTCTCTGCTCTCTGATTTCAATAAAATTACACCTGTTGAGTGCAGAATATAAAGAGGAATAGGCTGTGAAGGACATTATTTTATTGATAAAACAATTAAAAAAATATTAATGATTCATAGACTGGTAATTTTTTGAGGTCTTGATTTTTATTTTACTAGCCTAATATCCTAAATATGGATATTATGCTGGTCAAAAACAGTATACTCACTGTAGGACCCCCTGTTTGTAGTTTTGCGCACATGTCCATTCGGGCTGATCTCTAAGTAGAAGTTGTTTGAGTCCGAAGTGGTCTGAAGGTGGATGTACCTCCGCGGGTTCCCCCAATTGGAGCCCAGGAGGGGAGAAGGGTTGGGGGTAGCATCTGCAGGTCTGAATCCCTGGAGAGCCGTGATCCACAGCGCAAGGACAGAGGAGTGCAGCATGTGCAGAGTTGAAAGTGCGCAACGCATCTTCACAGAGCGCAAAGTATCGATGCGTAAAACCAGTGTGCAGAGCTGAAGAAGTTGTGATGCGTGAAAGTTGGTGAGCGCGGCTATTTAAACGCATCCTGTGCCACTCCTTTACGCAACACTCGTCCGCAGAGCCAGAGGGTGTGAGGAGGCGGATTCAACATGTCCACCTTCTGTTTGTTATGAGGGTAATTGACTGGTAAACCATAATTGGCTCTGTCAATTTGGCACAGCTTTGACTTTCTATGACGTCTTGGTGTCTAAACAAAATTGAAAACAAGAATACATTTTAATAGTTTTTGTGCATGTGAGAATCATTTGGTTGTCTCCAAATGTTTCTCAAATGCTAAATCAACCTATAAGTAAATATACGTTTATTTAGCCTATATATTTAGTATATATAGGCCTAACCTATAAAAAAGGTACAAAGCTGTTACTGGGGAGGTATCTTAAGACCGGAAAGGTAAAAAGGTACATCTTTTTACCTTATTTACTCCACAATGTCACATATTACTAGCCTACTTTAAAAGTACAAATTAGTACTTTTTTAAAGGGTACCGCCCAAGTGACTGTTTTGTACCTTTTTTCTGATAATGTATTAAGTGACTGCATGATATACTGAACGGATAGTTGCTTTGGATAAAAACGTCTGCCATACGAATAAATGTCAATGTAATGGAAATATAGTATGACCTCAATCTGAACTTCCTCAAGTTGGCCAGCAGAGGGAACTTGTGGCTCTTTCACGAACAAGTAACGCACCAAAAATAGTCCCTAACATGAGTATAGCTGTGTGCAACACCGTTTTTCGTATATAATATAGACTAATATATAATATGATATAGCAACATACATAATACTTTATATTATATTATAATAATATAATCATATTATTTATTTTTAAATACTTTATTTTTCTTTTTATATCAGGAGCAATAACCATAATTTGGGCTTGGAGAAGTAATGATTATCTCTCAAAAATGTAAACATTTCATAATAATTTTTAACATTATGAAAATTTTTTTTACAGAGAAACTGGATCCAAGAGATTTCATGTTTTGCATATGAATCAGACAAAAACATCAAATAACCATGACAGGAAAGAAGTTTATGAATTACTTGCGAGTAGTTTATTGAACTGTTGTCATGTAGTATAAATGAACCTGTATGAGTGTAACATCCTGACAGTGTTATTACTAGGGTAAAAAATCAGTTCTGGGCACACTGTGCATGACTGCTCACTGTACTTGCTACTTTGAGCATAATTAAAATGTGAAACACATGCATATGAAATAAAATAAAATAAATTGTTTTATTAACATCAGGAATATGATTCAACTGCTGTGCACAGCACATACGTAGAAAAGTAAAGGAAAAAATTCGTAAATATATTAGTATTTATACATAGCATCAGCGCATGTTCTCAGAAACACAAGTATGTCCTCAGTCTCCTACTGTCAAAAAATCTTTACAAGAAATCATAACTGAGGCAGAAGCATACAGAAATACAAAACTTTTAAACAAAGAGAAAATACAGCCACACAAAATCCTGGATTTTACTGATATGCAGAATGACAAGTGCTGATAGTCAAAATTAATTAGGAAAATATTGTGGATATGAACTGAGTATAATGAGTATATATACTGTAGGCCTATTAAAATAAATCACACTAAATGATTAATGATGCCTCACAGATACGGGGGTCTTCACTGTAACAGGATCAGCCACACAAAGCCATTTCAAAACAAAGACTCTGCAAAGCCACGAACGGGAATCCCGTTCTAATGCCTCCAGTGCTCCAAGGATTCCCGAAACCCTCCCTGCATATGAGAGGAGGATTCAGCCGTGACAGCTTGCAGTCCTTCACGCACATACGTTTTTCTCATGAGTCCTGAGTGTACCAGGAAACTGGTGTCTATATTCTATGCCCAATAAACATTTTTACAGCTGTTGCTATAAATCCAAGCGACATATATCAGCAGATGAGATGGCTCCGATTCCCAAATGTTCACGCACATCGCTCATTCTTCACAGACTTAAGATGGTGCTGTCACAATCAGGACACAAATGAAAGAAACAGCTCATTTGGCTCCCTGATTTCACTCCTCTATTTTTAATGCTTCATTAGTGCTCAAGATTTTATAACACATTCAGAAGACATACTGTATTAAAATAGCATTAGTTTGACCTGCGGTATTTTAGTACCAGTCTGCCAAACCCATTACTCTTTAGTTACTTTATGTAAAGTTTAACCTGCTTCCACGAAACCACAGCCAAAATGTTAGCTTGCACTGCCATCATTAAATGAAGCTGTGACTGTAGCAGTGGCTATTAAATAGCTACTTTTCTGTCCAATAAATGTGTTTTATTGTTTTTAAGTGTGCAAGTCTCACTGGAACTCAGTGATATGAATTGAGGCACATAAACAGTCCTCAATGGCACATTATTGACAGGAAACTTGCAAATGTAATGACTGAATGCCCCTGAATACTGAAACATCTCTTCACAGATGAGACCACGAAACAAGCAGCTTGGCAGAAGCGAGAAATTATCAGCCTTTTTTGTCTCCCTAAAGTATTGCGTCAGTCCTGCAGAGGTCTGTCCTGATATATTCACTGCGCTAGAGGAAGGAGCCAGTCCCACAAAAACTTCTTTTCATAGTAGCAAACGAGTGTGAATAACCCAGCAAGTCATATTACTAGATTTGCCCAACACAATCTCACTGCAATTCATTGCTGTTTTATTTTTGCCGAATTGGTGGATAATTCGTTTTCGTACTACCTGTTGGTTTGGTTTAGGAGTGAAGCTTCATGCTTACTTTTTTCTGAAAACTGTAAATTTTTATACAAATCACATTAATATGAAATCGCCACCATGTAAAATATGTTTTCTCATGAGATCAGGTTGGATTTGTTTGGATTCACGGTGATCTGAAAAGTTTGGCCTCAGATGCTTAAAGTTAACATGAAACAGTAACCCATTTTAATTCTCTATTGCAATGAACTTCTGAGTGAAAACAGATATTTAATGGGAAAAAACGTGATTTTAGAAACTTGATTTTAGCCGTCAGAAATTATTTAATCATGAAAAGTGGCCGTTTATCATTTTGCTAAAATATTACAGAGACCAACATTTTTTCTTTGGAATAATGTGGATTGATAAATCGCAATAAGACCAATACACAATAAGACCAGGAATCAATGTAAAGAAAGTAAATAGGGACGATTTTGATTTCATGCTGACTACATTTTGCCAAACTTTTGTGGGCAAATAAGAACCATTTAGTGTAGAGATGTATGAAGCACAGCTCACACAGAAGCCACTTTAAAACCACGCAACTTTCTGTTGTCCGAACACAAATTTCGTGTTGAAATTACTGGAATTCACCCAACAGAGCAATGGTAAATTCAGTTAAGAGCAACCTTAACTGAATCCAGCATGGATCCAAACAAATGACAATGAGACCACAATGGACTTGAGAAAAGGAAACGAGACCTTGGACGGACCAGTTCAACTCCATGGCTATAACCTTGGACTAAAGTTGGATGGAAAACCATAAAGAACCCTAGTGCTACTACTGGAATCTCAAGGCTTCTGAACATCGTGGCTTTTACAAGACTATCCATGTGCGAGGGAGATGTCACCAGTGTGGCCTCTGCTCAGGTATTCCACCCCCACATACTCCAGACAGATTGAACAAACAACAAGACTATAAGTCTTTCTAAAATAGCATCATTCCTTTTGATTTCCCTTTAACCCTCATGCCGTGTTCAAATCATTTTGACCCATAGAGATTTTCTTTTTCTTGAAAATGCTAGTTAGTGTTATCACATTGGACTAAAACTTACTGACCGTGCTAACACAGGTCATTACAACTTTTCAAAAATAATTGTACTTTATTGGTAGTTTTTCCACCTTGTTCCACCTCTAAAATTAACAACCTACAAAAAATTGCTTATTAATTTCTCGTCGTGCTATATTATCGCCAAATAATGGTTTTAATCTTCTTATCAACTTGTTTTCTTTTGATTAGCATGCATGGGTTTTGTATTTGTTTTGGAACTGACTGATCATAGGCATCATTGATCTGAGTTTATGCACCTCAGCTTTTAAGTGACCAGTGCCAAAATGATCCACAAATGCTTTTTTCACTCAAAAACTCAGGTGCATAAGCGCAGATCAATGAGGCCTACAACCAATCAGTTCCAGAAATAAATAAAACCTGTGCCAATTGAAAGAGAACAAGTCGACAAAAAGATTAAATCCAAGATTTGGTGATAATATAGTGTTAATGAGAGACTTACAAGCAATTTTCAAAAGGCAAATTTTCAAAAACATTTTTGACCGGAAACACCAAATGAGGTAAAGGTTAAAGAACAGGGTGGGGCCACATTTGGTGATGCAAACTGATGCAAACAAAGGCAGACATACCAAAATCATAAAAAACAGTGAGCGTCCCTCAGTTCGGATGCCACACGGCATCTGCCCTGTAATTACATTTGCATAGAGCAGCAGCGGCGAGTGTCACTGCAATGCCTCTGCAGCAACATGAAAGAGCCAGAGCCAGACTCGACTGCCTCCTTGACCAGGATTCACACATACACACACACACACACACACTCACACCAGAAGCAAAAATAAATAAACATATACCGCACATATTCCCTTGAATCAAATACCATCATTGATGGCAGCGTGCCTTTAGCAACAAGCAACAAAGCTCAGGGCTACTGGCGTTTTCAGTGCACAGTCAGTATTTACAGTATTTTCATTGGTTTAGAAGACATTCTCATTCACAGCAACGCTTAAAGCTTATTTTCGAGTGCTCCTTTTGTTCAGGCAAACCTGAGGTAAGCAATAATATAATCGAACCAGCCATGTTTAACATTTTCAGTGTGCGCTTGCATCAGTTCCCCTGTAGATTTCTCACTTTTTAGTTTTTTAATTTTTTTCTCGTTTTCTTTAAAAAAAAAAAATCATTTTGATTGCAAAAACAGTCTAGTTCACAAATAAAATGTACAGCCTCAAAGCTCCAATAGGGGTCTGGCTAGAAAAGATAATAGCCCCTTTCACACATCTTTACTGGTAAATTACTGGTAAAGTACAGTTTAGAGATCATGTGGCAACAGGATCTTTTTTTTAAATACCAGTAAGTCAGTTCTAGCAGCATTTTGGTTACTATTGTGTGGCGTTTTGAAGAGCAAAAACATGTTCTGTATGATCATTTATGGAATCCTATTTCCGCCAGGGAACAAAAAAATAAAAAAGGTAATTGTGACTTTTTTTCACATAATTTTTTCTCAAAATTGCAAATAAACTCAAAATTCTGACTGACTTTCTCGCAATTTAGAGTTTACGTCTTGCAACTGTCTCACACTTCTGACTTTTTTTTCTCTGAATTCTGAGTTTTATCTCAATTCTGATGTTTTTCTCGCAATTGCAAGTTTAGATCTCACAATTTATTTTCAGAATTGCACAATTCTGACTTTTTTCATAGTTCTGAGGTTACTTCTCACAATTCTGCCTTATTTTCCTCTGCATTCTGAGCTTACATGTCACAATTCTGACTTTTTAGTTTTTGCCATGGAATAAAAAATAAAAAAGGTAATTGTGACTTTTTATCTCACAAATTTCTGGCTTTTTTTCAATTGCAATTGTGAGTTTATATCTCACAACTTGGACTTTTCTTCTCAGAATTGCAAAATGTTTACAAGCCGTAAACTCGCAATTACGAGAAAAAACGTCCATATTATATGAGATAAAAAGATGCAATTAGCTTTTTTCGTGGAGGAAACAGGTTTCCATAATCATCCTCTTACGCTTGTCACTCAGAAGTCAAAAAATTGAAAAGATAATTAAACCAAAACGCATCTCCACATACGAGCCGATGAAGAAAAAGTACTGCGTCATTTCTGATGATTGACATCACAGAGTTTACCGGTAATTTGGTACTGAGGTATGAATGGTCTCTTACCAGCACAAAGCCATTGCTTACTGGAAAAGTCATTCTGGTCATTTTCACGGCAATTTACTGTGATTACCATGTGAAAGGGGCTAAAGTTACACCTCATTTCTGAGTCAACATCAGATGCTGAACACCAGAGATGATCAGTGTTTACGAGCCGCTCTCGCGTCTCATGCGGCGTTCTCTAATTAGACAAAAGTAAAATAAAGCAGAGATGCACACCCATCCCCCTCGCCCCTCTCCGGGGCCCTTGTGGGACAGTCCCCGCGGGGCCCTGGCTAACATATCAGCCCTATTTCTGACGCCCCGGGGCGTTCAGAGCATGCATGTTAAAGGGGCGCTGTGTGGGAATGCCAAGGCACCTCATCGTGACATGCAGCAAGAGTGATCTGCTTCCTTATAAGTGCTCACACAATCCCACAGCATGAGAAAAACAGAAAGAAAATAAAGTCAAAGATAAAAAAATAAAGACTTGTTATGCTTGTGTCGGCTCAGACAGAACTAAAAATAACAAGCGTAACTTCATGCATCCTTTTAAACCATCTAGGTAGCTCTTTGAGGTAATAAAAAACATAATTTCACTGTAAAAAGCCAAGGAGGACTTCAATAATCCGTCCTAAAATCTCTTTGATTCTTGACAAGCACCTGATTACAGAAAGGAGGGCTGGGAGAGCCTCCACATCCATAATCAATAATATATAAATAAAAGAAGTAAGCAGCGACGGATAGCATATTCAGTGATCCTAATAAAAAGCTGGCCTATCCAAATATACATATAAAAAACAGAACAAGTACTATTTTGGTGATATTCTTGCAGTTCATTGTATGTGTGTGAGTCAGTTTTCAGACCTCTCGGGGGGATCAGTGCAAATGAAGAATTATTGCAAGAGTCTGCTCATATTCGCGGGAGGAAGTGGGTGACCGTCATGGCGGTGGTGGCCTTGTTGCCTCGCTTCGCTCGGCCGTGTTTGTTGAGAGCGACATAGAATCCCTTGTAAACGGAGGACTCGTAGGCATTGTAGTTATTTGGCAGCAGGGTCTCCTTGAACTTGCATCCTCGCTTAGCTCGGCCGTGTTTGCTGAGAGCGACATAGAATCCCTTGTAAACGGAGGACTCGTAGGCATTGTAGTTATTTGGCAGCAGGGTCTCCTTGAACTTGCATTCGTCTTTAAAGGTAGCCTGAAAGAAGGAGAACAGAATGAATGTCAGATGCATCTGTGTTTAGCATCACTGAGATAGTATTTCTAATTCAATTTTTATCTTTGTATTTTTTGTTTTCATTTTCATTTTAGTTACAGTTTTAGTAATTTTGCTGTTTTTGTGATTTTTATTAGTTATTGTTTTTTTTAAATGTCTATATAGTTTTTATTCATTTTTATTTGAGCTTTAGCTATTTTAGTTCATAAATTTAAATGAAAATGAGAAAATTTGTGTAATTTTAGTATCGAGAAACTATTATAAATTTTCTTATATAAATATTTTGAAGTCGTTTTATTTTTGTATTTTCCGCTTTCTTTTTAAATTTGGTTAAAGTTTAAGTGATTTGTGTTTTTTGTCATTTTTATTAGTTATTGTTTTTTTATATGTCTATGCAGTTTTTGTTTTAAGTTTAAATTGTTTTAGTACATCAAGTTAGCTAAATGAAAATGAGAAATTATGTATTATTTTGGTATCAGATACTTTTATATTTTTTTTATGTTTTTGAATAAGTTTTTATTTTTGTCATTTCCAGTTGCATTTTAATTTTGGTTAAAATTTAAGTTATTTTGTTGTGTGAGGTTTTTTTTATTTATGTATGCCCACATAGTTTCAATTATACCGATATAATTTCAGTTTTAGTTATTAAACTAAATTAAAATGACAAATTTTGCTTTGGCAACTATCTGAAATGAGCTGAAATTTGTTTGTATTTTATTTGATTTCAAGTAACAAATATGTTTTGTGTGTGTGGTTTTAGTTTTAGTTAGCTATAATAACCCTGCAATGCACAAATATTTTTGCCCTCATGACTATTAGTGAGTCAAACATCTTGAGCAAATAAATGAGGCTTCTGTTGAAGTAGTTAGTGAACTCAACTCAAAATTAACAGCACTGTTTTGCACATGACTTTGAGTGCAAATACATCTAACCTCTTGAACTGATCAGTTTCTCAGCCTCATTTCCCATAACAGTCAACATAATGAACAAACTTGCTAAAAATCTTTCAGGTGAGTCTGGTTCTTCAAGAAAACCATTAACCTGAAGCATTAATCTGATGCTAATCCCTGAGCTAAACAGGCCTTTTAATTAAAAACCACTTAAATGATCATTGCAAGACCGGCCTGTGGCATCTACTTTATCTCTACTTCTCCAGAAGATGCTCTTGTAACACTCTGCAGTTTTTGGATAGAGCTGTCGTGCTCTCATGGGCCCCAAAGGACCAGTGTTGCACTGCGCTTGTCACACCTATGCCTAACTTCAGCCAAGACTGCCAAGTGTATCATTTACCCTTCAAACCTGCAGACACACTTTAAATCACACATCATTTGTGTAAAGAACAAACTACATAATCACTACTACTGCTATTAACAGTTCAAAACAATGTGTAAATAGAAGCTGCTCTACAAAAAATATTTCAATTTATGCACACATATTTTATTAAGGGAACTTTTATAAACACACTAACACAAAATAGGGTGAATTCAGGTTAATGTGTACATTTTTCCCAGTCATCCCAGTGTCCCAATTTACCAGAAAGTGTAAAGCAAGATGAAAACTGCAATTGCGCACTTTATGTGTGACTATTCCTACTAATAACCTACAGCTACCAGCTAATATAAAAGAATGAGGCGTTAGTTTATAGGCTTAATGCAAGCAATTATTATAAACCTTTTTACTCGTGCTTGTAAGCCGCTTTGGCGCTGTGCCTGGATCTAATGCACTGCTTAATAATAATTTGCAAAAGCCGTGGAGCTGTGGCAAACGTACTGCTTCAACTAACCAGAGCACATTATATTTATAAGGCATGAATAATTCAATGCAGCACACGACGTAAACACTATTATTAGTCGCGCGACCCCCTCACGTGCCAACTGCATGGATCATGAATTACTTGAAAACGCACAATGGAAGCGTCACCTGTTTAACACATACACGCACACACGAATTCGATTTTCGGGGATGCAAAGCCTCGTTGCATATGCAGGCAGAATGAAAGGCGACACGGTTGCGCACACCTACCGTTCCGTACAACCTTCCTCTGTTATTCATTGCGACAAACAGCTCGCTTTTCACACCGTACAGGCTAATCACTCCTCTGGCCACAGTGGAGATCTCTATGAGACCTGATCAAACAGAACAAGCATGTTACACACAATAAAGAGGCTCCGCGTGACTTAGAACAACAAGGCATGCGGTGGGTGGAACCTCTGCAGGTGCCAATTGTGGATGCGCAAATGGCCTCTTGCGCCACTAGGCTACTACATTATTGCCGAAAGACGAACATCCCTCACACTTTGAGAGTCGTGCATGTTCTATGCGCTTCTGGGCCGCACAAGGAGCCGGTGTAAAAATAAGTTGGCATCTATATCCGTCCCAGCATTCATGTCATGTTTAAGCCCAGCGCAGATATTTAGCACTAAGGGATACTGCGCGTGTGTCTGTGTTTTAATAGATTTCTAGTCTTTGCCTCCAAACTGACAAGTGTCGCTTACAAAGAATAAAGAGCTTTGCGCAATTAATTATTGCATTATTCCGTGAACTCACTGTACTGGTTCTCATTATGTACACCGTTTATCTTGCCGTCTGGGAGGACCTGAAGATGAAACCCGATGCCTACATTGCAGTACAGCCTCCGCACTCTTTTGATGCCCAGCAAATAGTCATTCTCCCAGTTCGCCTCTGGTCTCTCTCCAGAGATCCCCAGCACGGAGCGGGAGAAGAGGCTCTCCCATCGCTTCTCCAGTAAAGTTGTCCTATTAGTCTTACTCGGAAGCGGACTGGAGGACACAATCCCAACTAGGAGCAATCCTAAGAGCAGAACGGCAGTCCTTGGCCAGTGTTGCGCGATGGCCTCGCAGGACATACTGATGAGGAGCCTTTGCGCAATGGCCATCGGGTTTACCTTCGGGGCACGTGGTCAAAATTAATGGCACTAAAAATACCCCTCTTCTATTTTTTCTTCCCTCGGCATGGTGGTGCAGGCTTAATTTAGCGAGGCAGGTCAGGACTTCGGGCATGCGACGGTGGCCCGAGATGAGAGCGGCGGAAGAACGGGGAGAGAGCGCGGAGACACGACTTGAGGTGGAGAAGGTGGTGATGACCATGTTTTGCAGCTCCGAAGCCTCGGGTCGTGGAGAATGCCACTCACCAAAATCCCTATCTCACCTCAGAAGCCACCCTCATCCTTACATGACATCATATTAGGGGAGGGGGGAGGAGAGAGAGTGAGAGAGAAAGTTGCGAGCGGCGAGGAAGAACTGGCCGGACTGATGATGATGGGTCGCTGCTGTCACTCCACGTGTGAAATGGGGGTCGCATGCTGAGCCTTATTGGACGGCTTGCGCGCGATCATGGGATGCGATGGGCACTCTGGCAGCGCCCAAATCGGGACGGTGGTCATATGTCTGACAGCCCTGCTTCCTTATTTAGAAGGATAGTATAAAAACAGTCCACTTGTCACCGGAGAGCAATGGCACCCCTGTCTGTCACATCTCAGGCTGTTTGTGCAGGAAGTTTACACAACGACCTGATTCTACAATACTGCGCTCCCACAATGCGTGCCGATCAAAACTTTCCGCGTCTCGTGCATCGCGCAGCCTGATGTTTTTATCTTCCGGGAGGCTGCCTCTCTGGATCTCGTGGCGGTGATGCAGTGTGCAAAACGCACCTTCAAGAATGCTCGGACCGTGCGCAATGTCCGGACGTCAGCAGATGCTGCGCGTCGTTGCGCGGCTCTCCAGGTGTGCAGAGAGAGATTGTGGTGACGCTTGGGGAGGCGCTGTTGTTGGCAGCGTGAAAATCTGCGCCAATCACAATTATTTGCCATTGCTTGGTTCCTCTGGAATATGGAACAAAAGTCAATTATTAATTCTAAATCAACACGTTTCAGGACAATGTACTATGCCATAAAAATGTGTACATAATTATAGAATTTTACTATATCATCTTTATACTTTTACTATAATTTTACTTACTTTCCATTTAAATCAAAATAAATGTAAAAAATATAAATTAAATTACTTTTAATTCATTACATTTATATATATATATATATATATATATATATAAGTAAATATATTTACAATTAAATAAAATAAATGTTAAATAAAAAAATGTATTGAATTAAAATTAATTTAATATATATAAACACACACTTAAATATATTAACTGAGATATATACACATTTTGAAAACTTTTATCTATAGGTAAACTGGTTAGTTATATATATATTAAATCAATTTATGTAATTTAGTCAATGTTTAGTCAATGACTATCAAAATTTACAACCACACTGGGGGAAAAAAATATTATCTCTACAACACAATGCAATGCAGTTAAAACATTCAAAATACAGTAAAACACCTGTAAAAATCAATACTGAAAATTCCTTCATATTAATACAGTACATTGTGCCCTATTTTTTATGGATGTTTTGTTTTAGAGTGTAATCATACTGTATGACCCTAATCGGACCATATAAAACAAAAACTACACCTTATAGAACATTTCATTCAAACAAGTGTTTACTACTGTCATTTTGCATTATTGACGCACTATTTTCCTATTTAATACTGTAAAGTTGCTTTGACACAATCTGTATTGTTAAAAGCGCTATATAAATAAAGGTGACTTGACTTGACTTGACAAGTATTCCCACTTAGGATTGACAGCTGTGATGCAGGTTAACTGAAGAACTGCAGTGAATAGCAATAAAATGAAAAGTCATGACATGAACTTTTGCAGCTGAGTAGTCATCAGCTGTCTTTAAAATGCTTACAGCTCTTGTTAAACAGTGACAGTCTAATTAGCAAAGAAATCTCAAATCAGTAGCAAAATAGCACCAACACAAGCATAATCAGTATCACTGACGTCACTGCAGGGCCTTCACGTCTAAGGATGTTTTTACACACAGAGTAGTGTATAAAAAGTAGGACAGTTTTGCTGATGTTGTCAGAATCACAATGACATGGCTGTTTCAATAGCACACATAAATCTGGTTGCATGCATTAAAGCTGACCCACAGAACAGCGAATCCACCCCATGGCATAATTCACACAATTTCCACATGTCCATGTTGATAACACAGCAAAACTAAGATCAAAGCAGACATTTCACATTCAGCTGTCATTGCATCTCAAGTTCAGACTGATTACGGCACACCCAAACATCTGCTGCACATCACTTCAGTTTACCTGAGATAGGACTCAACAGTCTGTGACTCGCTCAATGATTGATTTATAAATGAATCAGCTTCTAATGGCGAATGTGAATATATTAAAACTTGATTTTTGAGGTTATAGGCAGAACATTTAGCAGCACTTTATAGATTTGAAGGATATCGTCATTAAATGGGGCTTTGAGCGAGGCAGGGTTGTCACAAACCACGTAACTGGATCCATTGCGGTTTCAAACCCTTCCAATTACATTTTTATTAACGTGGGTTTAGGCGGTATAGAAACGACAGCTGAGAAGAGCCGGTGAAATCCAGGAGAGAATTACTCACACATGACATCAGGAGCATCAGTGGACGTTTAACATTTAACACAGCGCACAAATGGCATTCTCTACAGGAGAGCAGCTGCGCGGCGGTACCCATCCACATCCTACTGAAGAAAACCCTGCAGCATATGCTCTATTTTAACTTGCATTTCAGATTGCATTGCATTCCAGCTCTTCATTAAAAACAAGCTGTGTGCCCAAGCACTAGAACAATCTGCATGATGGCACTTTGGGGTAAATAAAGCTGGCAGTCTGGGTGTAAAAGTGTCCAGTGGAATGGCAGAGATGGATATGAGTCAGGCCCTGTGATCTTGCTGACACAGATGATCAATAATTCAACACGGAAAAGCCTTCAGTTCACCTTTTATTTTTCTTAAAATGCGCAAAAAAATAACTGGTCTGTGAAACAATGAATTCTATTACAAATGGTTGAATGGAGAAATTTTTGCACATATTAATTGACAAATCACTTCTATAAAAATTGGCAGCTACAACACAAATGCTGCAAGCTATTGGGAAATAAATAAATTAATTAAATTAAATTAAAGTTAAAATGAATATAAAATAAAATTCATATAATTAATATATACATACACACTTCCATTCAAAAGTTTGGGGTCAGTAAGATTTTTTTTTTTTTTTAAGAAATAAATTAACACTTTTATTCAGCAAGAACAATGTGAAGTTGAAGTACTAAAATTACTCAAACTAAAATTGAAATACAGCTGAATAGAAATATTAAAACTAATAAAAATGAAAAAATAACAAAATTACTAAAACAAACAAAATTAAAAACACTAAACTGAAAATGTAAAAATAAAAGCTCATTCAAAATATTTAAAAAACTAAAGCAATTTATAAATAATACTAAAATGATAACGATTTTTATATACATGTGATTTAAAAATTCAGTTACAGTTTCCACAAAAATATTACAGTTTCCACAAAAAACATATTCATCAGCACAACTGTTTTCAATGCTGATAATAAGAAATGTTTCTTGAGCTCCAAATCAGCATATTAGAATGGTTTCTGAAGGATCATGTGACACAGAAGACTGAAGTAATGATGCCGAAAATTCAGCTTTGATCACAGGAATAAATTAAAATTTTAAAATATATTAAAATAGAAAACAGTTATTTTAAATTGTAATAATATTTCACAATATTACTGTTTTTACTTTTAAATGTTTCAGAAACAGATTTAATATTACTGACCCCAATGTTTTGAATGATGTGTGTGTGTATATAGGTACTATATATACATACATGCATATATATATATATATATATATATAGTTTTGAAATGATCAATCACCACTAGTGATGTAAAGTGGTTTCTGCAGTGAAGTTCCTGTTGTGGCAGGGATTTTGTGTGCCAGGCTGAGCTGCAAGAACAGCACTAAAAGCACAGTGTGTTCATGAGCTGACAAGAACTCAAGAGAGAACATCTGACCCCTGCAGAGAGCAGAACTCTGCGCACACTATTAGCACAGCTGAAACTCACAGCACAATGACTCAGGTCAAATTTCTGTCCACCTTAAAAACAAAGGTCACTTTACTTTTGCTGATCGAGTTCTGAATCCGGGGATTTAAGCTTTTTGTGCTTTTGTTTCTTTGGTAGAGAGCGGCCTGATGGTGTCTGCTTCTTTTTCTCGTGAGCTGAAAAGTGCACAGTCATTTTAAATGACATCTCACCTCTCACCACTCATTACATGAGTCACTGTTTCTCAGCGTGACATCAAGCGTTGAGTATGGATCATCCTCATATGCACTCTCATCAGATCAAGAGATATTCTGTTTTATACATTTATAAAGACTCAATCTACTACAAAAAAAGTGCAACTGCCATCATCTTAAACAGAACTGCTGCTACTTGGTTCACAGATCCTGCCAGAATAACTTGTTTGCACAGAAATGGTGCATTCCATTACTTGCTCACCAATGGATCCTCTGCAGTGAATGAATGCCGCCAGAATAAGAGTCCAAACAGCTGATAAAAACAGTCCACACCACCAATCCATCAATTAATGTCTTTTGGAGTGAAAAGCTGCATGTTTGTAAGAATCAAATCCATCACTAAGGCATTTTAAATAATTCTGGGCAAAATACAAGTCTATAATACATAATATTGCTTCCTACAGTGAAAATCTGTCCCCTGTTGTCCTCTCACACCCAAATCAAATTTGTTTAGAACTGTTTTATCTCTGCATATTTCTCTCCTGATTCAGATTAGACAACTTGAAGAAAGCAATATTATGGGACTTGTATTTTAGCTGGAAGCAATGGTTTAAAGTTAACAAGTCTTCATTATGGATTTATTACAAACACGCAGCTTTTCACTTCACAAGACATTTATTGATGGACTGGAGTGGTGTGGATTATTGTGATGTTT